GTATTGCCCATCTGGTGATTTCCATGTGTAGAGTCACCTCTTGTGTTGTTGGAAAAGAGTGTTTGTGATGACCAGCTTGTTCTCTTCACAAAACTCTATTAGCCTTTGTCCTGCTTCGTTCTGAACTCCAAGGCCAAACTTCCCTGTTGTTCCTTTTATCTCTTGGCTCCCTACTTTAGCATTCCAATCCCCTAGAATGAGGAGAACATCTTTGGTGTCAGTTCTAGAAGGTGTTGTAAGTTCATAAAATTGGTCAATTTCAGTGTCCTTTACATTGGTGGTTGGTGCATAAACTTGGATTACTGTGATGTTGAAAGGTCTGCCTTGGATTCATATTGACATCATTCTATCATTTTTGAGATTATATCTCATTACAGCTTTTCCCACTCTTTTGTTGACTATGAGGGCTACTCCATTCTTTCTGCAGGATTCCTGCCCACAGTAGTAGATATGATAATCATCTGAATTGAATTCGCCCATTCCTGTCCATTTTAGTTCACTGACACCCAGGATGTCAATGTTTATTCTTGCCATCTCCTGTTTGACCACCTCCAGCTTCCCAAGGTTCATAGATCTTACATTCCAGGTTCCTGTGCAGTATTTTTCTTTGCAGCATCGGACTTTCCTTTCACCTCCAGGCGTGTCCACTGCTGAGCGTCCTTTCAGCTTTGGCCCAACCACTTCATTAGCTCTGGAACTACTTGTATTTGTCCTCTGCTTTTTCTCAGTAACATGTTGAACGCCTTCCGACCTGAGAGTCCCATCTTCCAGCGTCATATCTTTTAGCCTTTTATTTCTGTTCATGGGGTTTTCTTGGCAAAGATACTGGAGTGGCATTGCCAGTTCCTACTCCAGGTGAATTGCGTTTAGTTAGAACTCTCCACTATGTCCTGTCCGTCTTGGGTGGCCCTGCACTGCATAGCCCATAGCTTCCCTGAGTTACTCAAGCCCCTTCGCCACAACAAGGTAGCAATCCGTGAAGGAGGGAGTTGACTGCTCAGGGTGCTCCAATTCGATTTCAATTATCCAGTGCAAACTTGGACATTTAAGTCATCTGTCTTCCTTATTAATGTCGTCCCTTATCCTAACCTGCAAGTTAGGAGAGAGGTGAAGAGTGGTGTGCCCCAGGGATCTGTCCTGGGACTGTTGTTTTTCAGCCTTGTTAATCAATGACCTGGAGACACAGGGATAAGGAGTGAGGTGGCCGAGTTTGCAGGCTCTGAGGGTTCTGAACTGTCCGTGATGGATCTGGAAAGAGATCTTGGTGTGCTGGCGGCAGTAAAGAAGGCCAGTTCCATGCTAGGTCTCATTAAAAAGGGGATAGAAAATAAAACAGCCAGCATTCTAATGCCATTGTACAAATTGCTGGTAAGGCCACACCTGGAGTATTGCATACAGTTACTCAGGCCAACCAAAATTTACCCTAAGTAATGTAACTTGAGTGCTGCACCTTCTTGTGTTGTGCATTTCTTCACTCCTCCCCCATGTGCATGATGTATCCCTATCAGCCTTTCACCGGATGGAGCTAGTTATGCCACTGCAGGCTTCTTACTGCTTCACCAGTCCCTGCTCAGCATCTTTTTCAAATATAGGGCCAGATATTTCTAGAGGTATTCTCTGACTCCAACTGGCAGAGTTTTCCAAGAATTCCCCAAGCAGAATGTTCAGAGTTGCAGCCCACAAACACAAATCAACAGACCTCTAGACTTGTCCCCCCTCCTCCCAATAAATAACCCAGTCCTACCTAGGCTACCACCATATCAGCTGTCTTCTCTGGCCATAATTGAAAAAAAAGAAAACTGCCATAGTGCTTCCTGGGAATTGTTCTTTAGCAGGCACCTTCTATAGAATCTAATGTGCAGTGGGAGTATGACTCCCCGCAGCCTCCACAACTGGGAGAGCCAAGTCCTGCAGGATGGCAGAGTCACTGACCAGCTTCCTCATTCCTTGACGCCTTCACTTTGCTATTATGGCATCTGTGTCTGACATGCTTGAATTTCCCAACAGCACCCTTCTGAACCCTTGTTAACCTCCTTATTCTTGGCTTCTCATTTGCTATCTCTTGGACCTGGAAGTCCCTCCTGGAAGAGTTACCTGGAACTAACTTTTGTTTTGAATTCACTGTCAAAAAACATTTCTTCCATGGAATTTTTGAAAGAGTCTGCCCTATCAATTATCATACAGTAAAAAAGAAAGCAGTAACTGCTGCATTTTTGAGACTAACATATATTTTATACAGTGGTGCCTCGCTTAATGAGCACCTCGTTTAATGACGAATCTGCATAGCGACAGAT